GATTCTTTTGCAAGACCAGTTCTTTCCATAATGAGCCAGCCAGAGCTTTAAGATTCCTTTCCATATGTGAACTATGGGCTATTTTTTTGTCAAGATATTATTTTTCAATTTATTATTCAGGCTCTTCAACCCACCCACTGAGGAGAACTATCATATTTTTCTCAGAAGTGGATACATTCACCCAGGAAACACCAAATCCTGCGCTAACTAGGCATTACAGGTTCCTGTGAGCTGGGAGAAATTATTTAACCTCTTCCCGTGTTTCTCTGTCTCCTTGGTGCTGGTGCCAGCAGAATGGGTGGGGGAAACCACTCGAGCGTGACCGAGTTTGTCCTCTTGGGCTTCACCAACTTGCAGGAGCTGCTCTTTGCAATTTTTTTACTCATCTACATCACCACGCTAGTGGGGAACCTGGGGATGATCATCCTCATCAAGACCAACTCTCAGCTTCACGTGCCCATGTACTTCTTCCTCAGCCACCTCTCTTTCCTGGATATCTGCTATTCCTCATCCATCACGCCAAAGCTCCTGGTGGGCCTCCTCACAGAGAGAAATATAATTTCTTTCAATGGCTGCATCACACAGTTTTTCTTCTTTGCTGTATTCGGCACCACAGAAGCCATCCTTCTGGCCGTCATGGCATACGATCGCTATGTGGCCATCCGTGAGCCTCTGCACTACTTGGCTGCTATGTCCCATGGGGTCTGTGTCCAGCTGGTGGTGGGCTCCTACGCTGCTGGGAGCCTGAACGCCCTCATGCACACCGGCGCTCTCCTCCGACTCTCTTTCTGTGGCCCAAACCTTGTCAATCATTTCTACTGTGAAATCCCACCACTCCTGCTACTCTCATGCTCCGACACCTGGCTCAACAAGATGGTGATGGATGTGTGCATTGGTTTCATCATAACAACCTCAGTCTTGGCCATCATCATCTCCTATGCCTGCATCTTGCTCACCACCTGGAGCACCCGCTCTGCAGAGGGCAGGCACAAAGCCTTCTCCACCTGCACATCCCACCTCATGGCTGTTGCCCTCTTCTATGGCTCTGCAGCCTTCTTGTATTTCCATCCCTTTTCCAGGCACGCAGAAGATCAAAGGAAAACAGCCTCTGTCTTCTGCACCGTGGTGATTCCCATGCTCAACCCTTTCATCTACAGCCTGAGGAACAGGGAGGTGAAGAGCACCCTCAGAAGAGCTACGAACAAGCTCCTCTCTTGCATGTATTTCCACAGGTCCTGCTCTACCCAAACCAAAGCAGATACTACCTGCCACAGCAGAGTGAACAGAAGAAAGAAGGCTGACACCTGACAAAAGAAGTGCACCATACATTTCTGCACGTCTGGTGAGATGTTCATGCTCTACCTCATGCTGAACACTGCAGACTTTGAATTACGAATTAACTCCGCGTTGGGATCGCTTGAAAAATAAATCACCTGTAAATACAACACCTGAAAGAAGGAAAAAATGCAGGAAAGACAGACAATCCTGAAAACACTTACGTGTTTTTTAAGCAGCACTAGAACATGCACGGTTGATACTTTTCACCAAAGAGGATTTAGGGCAATATTAAATTCCGTGGCCTGAAAGAGGTGGCTCCAAGCAGAAGGGGACAAGCTAAATAAAGACAACATGTTGGGGAGAGATCATGTCTTTCATAACTTTGTGTTCAATTTTTCTAAGTAGTTGCCCAAGGTTTTGCTTTAGTACAATAAATCCAGTTTATTATTTTCTCTGATTTGTCCAAGGATAGTCTTTACGGGGAATATGCTTCATAGATTGCACACAGACCTGTGGGGCTGGGGGTCTTGCTTTCCTGGGTGGGTTTCCCCCTTGGACATCTACCAGCCTAGAGCCACCATGCTGACATGCTCTTTCACCTAGGAGGGAGGTGGAGTTTTATCCCCTGTGACAAGCAGTTGCTCAGCTTGTCCAGGAACAGACTTTCAAGACGTTGTCTGAGCAGTCTTGGCTTTCCCCAGGATGTCATGTGGTGTTGACAACGCAAAAAGCCTCCATGTTTCTGCCCATATGTTGTGTTCAAGTGTGCCCGACGCGTTCGGTGGCTCCGAGACTCTCAGTGTGGGCTGAAAATCCCCCACTATCTCCTCTCCTCCTGGTGTGTCTCCATCCAGGCAAAGTTTATCTTCCATCCCAGCTGCAGCTTCTTCATAGTTTCTGCTTCCATGTTTCAGGGGTTGAGTCATCTCAGTCCAGGAGTCATCCTAGCTAATTGCAGGCTTTCCCATCTGTATTAGTCATCGTCGGTTCCCCTTATGGAGACAACCATGCATGTGGGGGCTTTGATTCATCTGTTCTATTTTAAACACCTACACCAGGATGAGATGAATTTTCCTGGAAAAAAAATGCATGGTTTTCCCTGCTCGCTGCTTGACAGTGAAGGGCTGACACAGCTACACAGCAAATGTGGATTTTGTACAGAGCAGTCACACCCAGGGCATAGTCTGAAGAGTTATTTTCAGCATAAATTAACTAAATTTACATAAATTAAAGAATTGATTAAATTAAGCCTATTCTGTTGTATAAGGGGAAAGCTTCAGCTCACCATGCTGACATTTTGAGGTCCTTCAAACCGCCCGCCTCGAGAGCGAGAAGGTGAAACTGTCTTTTAACAAGTAATTTACAATTCAGCTGAGCATGATGCTCAACAGGCATAAAATGCTTTCTGGAAAGAACAGAAAAGCAAAATGGATGAAGACAGTGCCTGAGCGATGCTTTCGCTTGGACGTAAAGGTCACTAATGCCAGATACTAACTTCCCGAAGAAAGGCTTATATTTTCCATGGATGGATAGGAGACAATTCCCTAGATCTGATCACAGGTACTAGTACTATTTTGGTTTCTCAAGAGCAAAGAGAAATTTTTCTCCCTAAACCTGGCCGTGACTCTCACAGATGCCTGGATCCCACTCTCTGGATATCCCAGAAAATGTTAAACCAAATGGCAGCAGTGGAGTTCCGGAACAGTTTTCCCTTCCTCCCCAATAACTCAGGTTCTGGAGGAGTGTTGCAAATGCTGTCTCCTAGCCCTGGAATCTCTATTCCTTACACCGGTTTCTTTTAATTCTCTGCGATGTCAAGAGATAAATTATATATTCAAAGACATAAATTTACATATATAAAAATGTCTTTAAATATATATATAAAGAAGCAGGAAAAAACACTCAAGCTTGCATTTAACTTGCTGAAACTAATTGTGTTTGTTTTTCAGTGCATGTCTCCTCCTTAAGGAGCTGTTTCCAAAGTCATCAATTCCCAAGAGAAATTTCCTGCTTGGCACCAAGGGGAGGGCAGCGGCAAAACCCTTGGTCTTTCAGTGAAAGAAGCCTATAAACCGCGGCTTTGCTTGGTCAAGTATCGATGCCCTTCACGCCTGGCAAATCATTCTTGCTTTTAATGCCAACATTGGGAGAAATCGGGGCTTATTTCTCAGATAAAATTTTGGCCTAGGAGATAACAAGTCCCTGACAAAACCCAACCGGAGATGTGAGCAGACAGGTGAGTTCCAGCCTGAATAACGCCACGAAGAGTTGCTCTGCTGCAAGAGGAGGACTTTAGACAGGAGCCTGCTGTCACACCAAACAGTCACCCAAGGTCAGGATGTCTCAGGCGAAACCCAGGCCTTTATAAATTGCTTTTCTGAATTCAAGGCAGCTTCTAGCTCAGGCTATGAGTAACACCAAGATACACAGGCACTGCCAGAGAGTAGCAGCCACTCAACCCCAGCTGATTATTTTAATCAGGATTACTGGGATTCATTATTCTTGTCCGGTGGCTGGAGAGGGCAGCAGCTTGGACAAGCTTGGAGTGGTTCTAGAAAGCGTTGGTGGTCTGAGGCATGTTACGATGCTTGCAAAAAAAAAGCTTGCCATCCTTGAGTTCTGGTTTATCGCAGAGCTGTTACATGAAGCGAAGAGGACTGACAGTGCACGGTCTGCTAGTCACTACACTATGAACATCACAGCATGGAAGCACTACCTGGGTTATTTGGCAAACTTCAAATTGTTTTAGAGGGGGGTGAAAGTTTCTGCAACTGACTTCAATGCTGAAATGAAATATAAAAATCAGTTTGATTCGATCCAGGTTTCAGTGGGCCTCACGTACAAATCAAGGTAGGGCACGTATGTTGAAATTCCCCCATGCAGAAGGGTCTTGTCCAGTGGTATAATTTGGTATCTTGTTCAAAAGCCCTCAGTGAGCAACTTCTGTGACTATTCCTAACTTCCATTTTAAGAAGAGAGGAGCTTAATTTTATCTCTTTTTAAGCTTAATTTTATATCTTTTTTTTTTTTAAACTGCATTACTAACATCTTACTCCCCTGGTTCATAACAGCACTGTAGCATTGTTGGGGTTTCCACTGGTACCGACCTCCACAAATTCTGTCCATTGTCTTTCTCCACTTAGTGGCATCACGAGAACGACGTGGAGATCACCATATTTCAAGGGGGGTTAGTGCTTGCACTAAATCTCCTGTTTCAAACTTAATTTCAGAATTTCATAGGAAGCAAGGGAAGAAATCAGAGGTTTGGTTTAAATTGTTCTGTAACTCCTAAAGGAAATTCTCTAAAAAGTGCCTCTATCTCTCACCAGTACTTTTTATATTTTCTGAGACAAGAGTTTTTTATTCTTTTAAATGAAGACTTTGATTCCTAATGTTAGAATAAATTACTGTGATTATCTCTCTGGATCTGATGGGTAGCTAACTTCTGAACTTCTGCAGGAAGTAGAATAACCCTTCTCATTTGCAAAGTAACTTAATCAAACCAATAAACCCATTAGATATAAGTTCCATCATGCGCTTCACTTGCTTTAAAATGTGTTTCGAGACAAACATGGAATATGTTGTTCAGCAGCTCCTGCCTCTGAGATTTATATTTCCTGATAAGAATGAATGCCTCTTTAATGTTTTTTTGGGGGAACAACAGGAATACGCTGACTCTGCGTTTCTCTGCACCTCTGCTTTCCTAGAACAACTCCGTTACCATGATGGCCAGAGGAAACCACACCCCCAGCGCTGAATTTGTTCTTGCAGGGTTCTCAGAGCAGGGGGACGTCCAGGCTGTCCTTTTCGTGGTCTTCTTGGTGATCTACATGATCACTCTGCTGGGGAATCTGGGGATGCTCGTGTTAATCAGGTCGGATGCCCAGCTTCACACCCCCATGTACTTCTTCCTGAGCAGCCTGTCCTTCCTGGACATCTGCTATTCCTCCTCCATCACGCCCAGACTGCTCGCAGATCTCCTAACAGAAAGGAAGGTAATTTCTTACTCTGCATGCCTCATACAGTTTTATTCCTATGCGGTCTTTGCCACCACTGAGTGCTACCTCTTGGCTGCGATGGCATACGACCGCTATGTGGCCATCTGCAGACCACTGCTCTACGCCATCTCCATGTCCAGCAGGGTTTGTGCACTGCTGGTAGTTGGCTCGTACCTTGCTGGGATCGTGAATGCCACTATCCACACGGGGTTTGCTCTTCAGCTGTCCTTCTGTGGTTCCAACATCATCAACCACTTCTACTGTGAGGGGCCCCCGCTTTACGCCATCTCTTGCGTGGACCCCACCATCAATGAGATTATGATGTTCACCGTGGTTGGCTTCAACCTGTTTGTCACCAGTCTGACCATCCTCATCTCCTACATCTACATCCTTGCCACCATCCTGAGGATGCGTTCGGCCGCAGGCAAACACAAAGCTGTTTCCACTTGTGCATCCCACCTGACAGCCGTGACCCTCTTCTATGGGTCTGCTGCATCCATGTACTCACGGCCCAGCTCCAGGCGGTCCCAGGACCTTGACAAAGTGGCCTCTGTGTTTTACACTGTGGTGACCCCCATGCTGAACCCCCTCATCTACAGCCTGAGGAACAAGGAGGTGAAGGGTGCGCTGGGGAGAGTGATAGAGAAGAAACGTTCATCCCAAAAATCGTTTTCTCTAGTGCTTCAGAGGAATTGAGAGGTCTTCTCAGACATTACTTTCCATTTCTGTACTGCTATGGTATAAAAGAAGCAGTGCTCTCCTGTGAGCTGCTGGTGACAAATGCATTGGGAAAACTCTGCCTTATCCCTAAATACTTGGTCATGAACTCATCTTGGACCAGGCCATGCACTGACCTGCCTCAGGGATGCATGAGCTACTTTTATTTGTGTTTACAGCCTGATATTATTTTAATTTCAAGAATTCAAGCCCTTCTGACTATTTGTAGATTGAGAATGCATTATCACTATGGTCTTGAGCAACAATAACAAAGCACACCCATCGCTTTCCGCATGACGATGATGACCAGAGATCTCTTCACGCATTATCGCTATTGTCTTGAGGAATGACAACAAAGAACACCCATTGCTTTCTGCATGACGATGATGACCAGAGATCTCTTCAAGTCAAACAACGGGCACATTTCTGGTGAACGCGAGACTCAGGTAACTCAGTGCTCCCAGTACTACCAATAGACACTGGGCTTCAGAACAACAACCCGCTGCAGCAATGCTCATCAGGCCTTTTCTGCCACTTGTTTTACCTCAACTGTAGTTGCATTTTTATATTTATTTGAGAAGCTTCCACATCACCTGCAAACTTGCTCAAGAACCAGAGAGCTACCATCTGGCTTCTCCTTTGAGTAAAGGTAAAATTACCCAGGAGCCAGGTACCTGCTCCCTATCCTGGCATTCTGAGCTTCTTTTAGTCATATTACTGTGAATTGCTTTTGCTTAGTTTTGAGCAATTGTGTGATTTCCCCTCTAAAATAAACCATGAGATACAGGGGAAGAACTAACAAACTTTAGCCACTATAGTATAGGTAACCCCATAGGCCAACAGGAGAGAAAAGAGTGCCAACCTGGAACAAATACGGGGTAGAAACATATAGAAGTGATCCCAAGGAGACCACAGACTAGAACAGAAGCAGCTCCTACCACAACCAGTGCTCCCACCAAGCACACCACCATACCTCCTCAGCAAGGAGCTCAGGGCGCTGCTAGGTCACCACACCATCCCACCAAGGAAGCAGGACCTCAGCCTGAAGGTGGGAATTTAACCTCAGGGATTAGGGGCGGGTACTTTAATGGGATAAACCTGGAGGAGCATCACTCCCCATTCATTCAGGCCCACACAAATGTCCTGAATACAGTCACACACTAACACACTGACCCTCCAACTCCTTGGCTGCATGGCCTGGACTAGCTGACAAGCAAGGTGCTTTAGAAGTGCACTTTGTCATTAACAAGGAAGAAAGTTTCTTTCTTGTTAACTCCTGCTAATTAGTCTCTCATGGCTTGTTAAGGAGAATGAAGTAAGTTGACTACAAGCCCTCTGAGAAGCCTTCATAGTGATTAGGAAACTTTCTTGGTAAACCCCAGAAGATCTTGTTAAGCTGATGACTCTTGGAAGGGAGCAATTCTTGCTTTGGGAAGCGGAGCAGCTTCATTGGCGGTGGAAATAGCTGTAAACACCTGTATGGAGAGAGCCTGGAGCTCAGGCCTGCTGGAGGGCCCGCTGGAGGGCTTTCTGTGCTGATACAAGCTTGGTCATACACTCTCATTAAAGAAAGAGACATCCTTGTCCTCATGATATGTGCAGAGAAGGTGGTTCCCTTGGTTCTTGCTAATGGGGTGATTTGGCCCTGCCTTCTTTTGACCCCCTAGCAGAAAGAGTTGGGGAAACTCGTTGCACTTCTCCTCAAGGACACCTCACAACTTCAATTTCTTCTCATTAATTGCCTTGGGATAGATTTGCTTGTGTCTTTTTTAATTCTTAAACTGGGAGACAAGTTGAAGTACACTACATATATCCTCCACATCTAACTGGTTTTCATAAATGCAATTTTCCTACCATTTCGAATCTGGGACTGGAGAACAAGCATGGGAATGGGTTCGCCTGACTCTCAACATCTGAAAAATTCATTGTCTAATTACGAGATAGTCAGCCAGATGCCCTCTATAGTATGTGGGAACAAGAGGATGCTTGACCACATCACAGGACAGGTGGTTAGGATGGATGTGGTGCAACAGCAGCAGGTCTGAACATCAAAAGGACTGGTACCATGGACCCGGATGTCTATGGTATATGCATTTCAGGATAGTTTTCTCGGTATTAAATTTCTTCTGGTCCGGGGATCTGAACATCTACTGGAGGTCAAACTGCATTAGGTGCCCCCCTCAAGCCCATTTTCAGTTTGCCTTCATCCAACAGGAACCCATCTCATGCAGCCTGACACCAGCCTGTGATACAAACAAGTACATGGCCAGGGGAGAAATATCTTCAAACTTCAACTCTTTAAACTGCACTTCTTGTCTGAACAAAACCTAGAATAATAGAAACATACCTTTACTGATCACAAACGGAGACAAGGAACTCCGATTTAATCACTCAACTTTTATTTACCTAAATTTGAAGAAGATGAATCTACTTCAGACTACCTAATCCCTCCTCCCAACAGTCTTAATAGTAAAAATAATAAAAAGAGCTTTATTGGTTGTTTTTTTTTCTTTTCAGTTGAAGTAAAACTTTATATGGGGAGAGGTGGGAAGGAGAGGAGGTCTGTCTGCACAGTGACATCTCCTGTTCACCAGGAAGCACTTCAGGATCGGAATAGCTTATGCTCCTGCGTTGCATCCTCCTGCATCTATTGTGAAAAGCAACAAATGAATGAGACTCCCTAATTTGAAGTAGGTATGGAGAAACTGGAGATACCCGTTGAAGACAAAAGCGTGTAGATTCGCCACCTGGTACGAACCAACAGTTTCATTCGATCCATTCTCATGAGTCGTATCAGTAAAAGCACTGTCTCACTGAGTTTTCTCTTTTGCATGAGCAAACATTGAATGGTTAGATGTACGCCCTAAAAGTCATGATGATAAATGTGCATATCTGGGAAGATCTCCATTTTTAGGCACATTACTGAAAGCAGCAGTCATTCACAGAATCACAGAATCACAGAGTGTCAGGAGTTGGAAGGAACCTCTGTGGGTCATTCAGTCCAACCCCCCCTGCCGAAGCAGGGTCACCCAGAGCAGATTGCACAGGACCGTGTCCAGGCAGGGTTTGAATATCTCCAGAGAAGGAGATTCCACCTGAGTGCAGGCACACTTGCATCTACAGAAGGTGGAATTCTTCTCACCTGACAATGTCAGTCTGAAAACTAATCATTTAAGCTCTTTTGTAGCAAGTGAAAGCGATAGACTCTTCCATAAGGAGACCAGAACATGAGCTGTGTCCTGCTGCTTCCTTGCAACTTTCCCTGTGCCCCAACCAGGTTTGTGAAGGTCCTCTCCAGGTGCCCCTGGTGCTGGCTGCTTCTCAGAGGTGTTGCAATGGGCTTGATGATTTTCTTGTCTGGCCTTGTATGTTGATTCTAACATTCACCACCAGGTAACACAAGGGATGGGCAGAGAGATGGAAAGACAAAGAAAAGAAAAACAAATCTCCTTGATGATTGATCTTCTTGGCTATCCATGTTACCTTATCCTTGTGGGCCCTTTGTGCCCAGAAATACTTACTCATGGTCTTCTCCAGCAAGCGCTGACAGGATCACAAGTTTAGAGATCATGAAAATGAAAGTGTGATGGCGCTGTCTTGTGTGACATCCCCACAGCAGCTCATCTCACAGGGCCCAGCAAGCGGGTATTTCCTCGTCTCTCCCAGCACCGCCCGTGGCGTGTGGCTGGGGACATTTATCCATCGCCTTGTTCCGTGTTTCCTTAAGGACCCGGTCCCTGAAGTGTGTAGCTCAGCTATTCAGCATGGCTTTTGCATTGAACCAAATGTGGCCCCTGAGTTACTCCCTGCGCCCCAGAGAAAGAATTTCCAGAGCTTCCATGGCTCTCCATGTTACAAGCTCACTGTTTTCACCACTGTAGCTGCAGAAGAAAGATGCATTCTCAAGAACATTAAAGTTATTTGCATTATATGTTTCTACCAGTCCGAATGCGGGATGAAACAAGAACTCTTCCTAGGAGTCTCCCCAGAGTGTCCTTCACCTCCGTGTTCCTCAGGCTGTGGATCAGGGGGCTCAGCATGGGGATCATCAGGGTGTAGACAATAGACGCCACTTTTTCTGGGTCCAGGGAGTGACTCAATCTGTACCATCAAGGGGGAGAAATGGAAACTTTTATGCACTATTCAGATAAGCTATTTAGGATGTTCATTTTGGAGTGGGACGTGTTGCTTCCTAGAGTACCTGGCAACAGGGTCAGATGAAGAAGTCTACACCTGTAGATGACATCATTCGGCTAAATCATGCCCAGACTCAACAGCTCCTACGCTAAATAAAAGCACTAAGGTAGCTATAAATGATCTGGAAAAGAAAGAAAAAAACCCACTTCAACCCCATAACTGGCTTTTCATTTCTCAAAAAGAAATGTTGTTTCCAATTTCATTCTGGCATTTCTTTCCAGAATCCTGCAGGCTGGGATGCACAGTGAGCAATCCCACGCCGATCCAGGGGACTGGCCGTGGTGACGAGCACCAGATGACGCGCCACGTGCTAATGCCACAAAATGATTCATTTCATGCCTTAGCATTTTGGTTTTTTTTCCCCTTTGAGCATTTCAGGGCTCATCAAGGCAGTGTTGAAATTGTGTAGATCTTGGTGGAATGAAAGGAAACTTCAAGCCCAGCTTATGAGTGTCCTTGGCGTGAGCTGTGCACTGCTGTGAACCCATGTGGACCAGCTGGTTTCCAAACGTGAAAGATCTGCCCCAGCCAAGCCTCAAGTCCATAAACTCAATTGTGAATTTGTCTGGATGTCTTTGCTCCTTCTCAGGATACATTTTTGCAGCTGGGGTCCAAAACCTGCTAGGTATCTGAGGGAAAGGACTTACACAGACTCTCAAAAACTCTTTTTTCTTTGGTAGGTTTTGCTTTCTGCGTTCCTTCAAATCAAAACTCATTAGAGAATTTTTGGTGTTGTGGCACACTTGAGCACAGATTGTGTTTTGAGACGTCGCCTGAGTGAC